GAGGAGGAGAATTGGATTGCCTCATGAGATGACACATTTCTGCGTCATAACTATTTGCGCGTGGTGATCGTTACAAGCGTCCCAGATATACAGTAAATGTTAGGTTTGTAAATTAATATGTACTAATGTAAAAATAATTAATCTCACTGAAACCTATCATTTCTGAAAATGGCTTTATTACGAGTCGTTCGCTTAAACAGGACTAACTATAAGAGTGCATAAGGAAGGGGGACACATGAAATGGGGAAAATACTAGAAAATTACGACAAGTACAAGAGACCAGTACTTTGTTGATTGTCCGCTTGAATTTGACGCAGCAGAAAATTTTTCGGGCGTCACGCATAAGAACGGTCTTCGACAATAAAAAAAAGGTTTTCCCCATTACTCTGCTACAATGCCTGTAGTTGAAGGGGTACATGTGTTTTTGAATTGCACTGGAGACTTCGCGCCGACTCTTGTGACATGGGTGTCTTGTTGTCGTCTGAAATCAGCCAAGCATGTTGGAAAGCACACGTAAGCCCCGCGAATGTTAATTACGCTTGCTAGTTTAGCGTTCGCTGGTACCGAAAATTAGTTAACTATGTTGCTACCAACAGATGTTATTAAGAATAAGCCGAACTTAGGCCCAATTGAAATCCATTGTTCGATCGATATCTAGTCGGCTTTTTCATCAGGCTAGTTTGCTTGTTATTTTTATTTTAAGGAGAGTTTTACAGAATCACAAACAACCCCTACGTTTGTCTATCCACGGTTTCAATTTAAAGCAACATAGGCCCAAAAATTAAACAGAAAAATTCTCCTAAATTGCCCGATGTCTCTTTAATGCCTACATAGCCTCAACGAATCGACTTTTCCAAAGTGAAAAAGCCGAGTCGAAATGACACAAGTATTGACAGTAATTAAAACACTACTTAGATGGTATCCCAGAGATTTCGTATGCCGGTGTATCAGAAAACAGGCGGCCTTCCTATACACCATTGTTTTCAGGTGTCCATTTGGTTTCCGGTGAACTAGTACGTCGAGGAACGGTAGTTCGTAGTTGCTTTCGGCCTCCAAAGGGACGCCGATGGGATCACCGCTTTCAGGCTTCATCGCAGAGGCAGTTCTCCAAAAGGCAGAGAACGAAGTTTTCAAGACCTGCAGGCCAACATTTTGGACCCTATATGTCGATGATACCTTTGTCATCATCAAGCGCGAAATGGTTCAAACATTTCACAATGTACTGAATACAGTGTAGCCTGATATTTAGTTCACAATGGAGGCCGAAAGAAACAGCGAACTACCGTTCCTCGACGTACTAGTTCACCGGAAACCAAATGGACACCTGAAAACAACGGTGTATAGGGAGGCCGCCAATACGCGCCAAATCCTGAGCTACCACAGAAAGCACCCCTTGTCCCACAAACGCAGCTGTGTACGCACACTATACAAAGGGGCAGATACACACTGCAGCGAGTCAGACGACAAAAGTTCGGGACTACGCTACCTTCAGCGCCTCTTCATGGCGAACGGGTATGCTCGAAATTTCATAGAACGCAAGAGGCAGCCTGTGCCAAACCGAAGCCCAGTGACAGAACGGTCACAAGTCTGGCGAGCGCTCCCCTACATTGACGGCGTCTCTGAGGCGGTCTCCCGTCTCCTAAGGCCTATGGGGATTGGCATTGCCCATCGGCCAGAGTCAACAATTCGGCATCTGGTCATGAGACCTAAGACCCCCCTGCCACCCGGTGAAATAACAAACGTGATTTATAGGATCCAATGCAGCTCCAACGAGATGAACTACATTGGAGAGACCGTTAAACGACTGCAGACCCGTGTTGGAGAACACATGAGGGCCGTGAGGAGGGTGGACCCGTTGTCTCTGGTGGCAGAACACTGCGCAAACTCTGGACAAACATTGGCCTTCCAAGGTGCCGAAATCCTGGGCCGAGGAAACGATCGCGTGACCATGGAAACAATTGAGGCCTGGCACACAGACACGAACTCCATCAGCCGCTGTGTAGCGCTTCCCGAAGCCTATCAGGCCCTCCGGACGCAGCTCAGGGAAAAGAGCAGTAAACGCGGGTCACGAGGAGAAAGAAACTCAATCACGGTCGGGTCTATGGTGTACACAAACGCAGCTGCACTTCAACTTGGATCTGGCGAAGGCGCGATCGTCACCAAAGTCGCGACACCCACTTATCCGGCAGGTGCGAAATCGGACGGTAGCAGTAACATAAACGGACCCGACGAAGGTGCCAACGTAACTGCCACTTATCCGGCAGGTGAGAACACAGGCTGTCGCGGGGTCGTAAAGAAGATTGCCAGTCTAGGACGAGAACTAAGGTCCATGCAAACACGTGCGATGACGGCTAGCGCCCGAACGCCGGCCCCGACAAGATGAAAACCCGTTAAAAGGAGACTATCACCACCTTTAAATACTGTAAGACGTGGTACAACACTTACCTCCGACGATGAAAGCTTGTTAGCTTTTGAAACGTCAGGGCAATACAACTATGCTTCCTGAGATCGTCTCTTCTTCTTCTCATTTATGTCCGGGTACACGCATCTTCGCTTCTATCAGCAATAGATATTTATGTTAATAGCGAATCGCGCAAAGCTTGTCTCATCACGTACGCCACAACTGTGACTGCCAATGCTGCTTGTGACAATTTTTAAACAGTACCTACTTCTGGTAGTACCCTGTCCCCATGGGAACGGGGAACTGCAGCGCCTTAAACGAGGTTAAGTGTTCCGTCCCATGCTGCGCTAAGAGTCAGGTAATCACGATCCCTGAGCGCCCGAACATGAGCACGTTCAGCTTCGAGAATATTTTATCACAGGCGCCCACAAACTTCACTATCATGTAATAAACCGACCAGGCTGACAATGACTGACCCTCACGTGACGTGTCTTTACTCAGGCTCACGTCCCCCTAGCGCACGGACGTGGGCGGGCCTACGATCGGCCCCGTGTCAAGGGCTCTGACATCCAGTAGGCTTCTGTACAGAATATACTTTACCTACTGGTGTCCTTCTCCTTCTCCTCTAAAGTAGGACTGGTCAGTGATAGTGGTTTTCTGAGAGTACTCGCACTGCTTCGACGCAACAGACCCCACGCGTTACAGGTGGTCCCGCGCTAAATTCCAGATGAGCCTGGGGTTATGGCTGGTGTTGTTATGGACAGGTATATGGAGACTAGTGTCAGGGTTGCGGATGGGAGTAGGGTTAGATTACGTGCCATGGACAGGGCGGCTAGAATCAGAGTTAGGGACGTAAGTGCTAGGCCTCGGCTTGTGGCTAGGGTTAGTGTCATGTTAAGGATTAAGTTTGGAGGACAGGAGTAGATAGCACTCCCACCCAGAATTGTGAGCAAGGCTCTCATTCGTACGCAGAATCCTTATTTCCGTGCACAATCTCTCCCTCTCCTAACAAAACAGCATTTAAATTGTACATTGTCCTTACCGTGTTTCTGAATCCAAAGCAACTACATAATTGCTTTTCACTAGAGTGACGCATAAAGCTCTGCGCAGACACACATTGCGTGTGAGCCACCAATTAGCAACAACGCCAGCTGGTCACATATATCCAGGCAGATGGGAAAAGCAGGCGAAAACAAATAACAGACTACAGAACAAGCGACATGTTATCAAGTTCATCTTCATTAAACGCCGGGTAAGGTCAAACCGCAGGTTATAGATAGCGTTACGGCCAATGAGCATTAACCCACAGCAAATGAAAGCTCCAGCCCACCCTAACTCCAAACAAATTCAACCCTATACCAGACTGGGTGCCTGTATCACCTCCGGATACCAGTTGGAGACTTTCGGACTGTGTTTAGCGATAAACATGAATTAGTATTCGAAATTTTATCACCCATTTAAAATAGAAACGTAAACAAGGCTTCCAGTAGAGTGTTGGCATTTGTCAACCTCCGTTAAACTTTCAATCAACTCCTACCCTCACCATTCGGACTTCAAGTGTAGAGATGCGGTAATCAAACGGAAAGAATAAGCAAGTTCACGCAGAAGCGGAGATATTTTCATAATTTTTTATTGTACTATTTTAGTAGAAGATTGTAAAACAAAGTTTCCCCATTCCAGAATGCAAGCAGAAAGGTCAGAAAAACACCTCAGACCAAGAAACCCTTATACCAAGAAAACCTTATACCAAGAAAAGTGTTCTGTAAAAATTAATTGCTAGCAGAATTATCCATCAACGGGATTCCCCTGTGGACGTTTCTACAGCGTCCGCATTCAGGACTTCGGTGCACTGCAAACGGCTTTTCTCGTGTTGAGCATGTATTCAGCCAGATCAAAGCAGCGAGCTCCGTACTGGCTTGGTGAATGAAGAATATCCTCGACTTCTGACAGAGAAATCAAGGGTTCCTGACGATTGGCGAACTTTATTGCGTCCACTCTGATACCACTTTGGGTCATGTTGAGTCGGAGTTCTGCACCAACATTAAACATGTGGAGTACAGCTTGCCGGGAGTACGGGTAGTCGTATGTTCCTAAGAGCTAAACAGAGGCGGGCGAATGTTAGAGGAAACCATAAATCCTAAACCAATGAAACCCTAACCCTAGGCTCACGAAATCGTGATCCTAAAACTTAAGCCCTAACCCTAACCCTTAGTCCAAGAAACCCTAACCGTAAACTCTAAACCTAAATCCTAGTCCTAAACCCACAAAACACTAAGCCTAAAACCTATCCCTAAATCCACGAAATCCTAACCTTAAGTCCTCACCTTAAACCCACGAAACCAGAAGGAAACAAGAAAATCAAATGTTAACCGTCTACTGAAATCAGTCATAGTATGTAGGTAATAGCACACCATAAACTCGGTCATTGTAATAGAATCCCAACAAACCTTTCCTATGACTCTGAGGGAGTAACTTTAGAGCTTGAAAGATATCGTGTTCCCGTTGGGGCATTTTCTACAGAAGTAATGGTTTGTTGGTTTAGAGAAGAACCAGGCGGGCGATTGCATTAGCAAATGGTTCTGCCGCCATTGCAGTTTTTCGCACGTTACTCAGTACGTGGACACAGTTCCTGCATAACAAAGTCCCGCCAATATTTCGCTCGAAGTTGAAGGTGACTGATAACTTACCACATAATAGATGTTTAGTTGTATCAGGGAGAAGGTTATTCTACACGGAAATTCAGTCCAACCCCTCTCCGCAAGGGGCACCGAACCCTTTTGGCAACTTGGATGACTTTTCATATTCAGAGCTTCGATGCGCATGTAGTAGGAATTCATGCCCATGGGAAAATGTGTACTGATCCCGATCAGGGCCTTGAGGAGGTTATCTACCGAGAAGTCGATGTGGGTTCCATCTTTTTTTCTGCCACATTTCCACTGGTCTTTGAAGGAAATCAAAAATTTACACGTAAGGATATTGGTTTTCCTAACTTACAGTTTAGCAGTGAAATCAGATAGAGAAGTCCCAATTCAATCGTGAATTATTGCAAAACAAAAGTGTCACTTGGTTAAACATTATTGATCGCATTTCCTACGAACGGTACTTCGGATGCTTATTTAAACCTCCAAAGAACGTAGTAAACTAAGGTTGTAATTTCAAAAAGTCGCCATATGTCTCCTCTCTTAGCGCCTGTTGATCCCTCAAACGTAGGTCACACAGTAAATAGATGAAATAATGGCACCGAGTACGCCTGCAATATCTCCGACCCTTCGGATTCAAACTGATACGGCTTGCGTCGAGATGCTTTGCTGTTGTCGTCAGTTTTTGGTTGCGACTGTTTAGTGTCTACGGAAGCACTCCAAATCCTTAGGCGAAATAATGTTTCCGGGGTAGGAAGGTAGAAATGAACCCGTTTTTCTCAGTTAATTAGCTTTCTTTCCCATGTCCACAAAGTCGTAAGATCAGTCACTGTAAAATACAACTGCTGTCAATGGTCATTTCATTTCCCTGACGGTCAGAAGTGGTGACCTGTAAGTTACGTCAAAGTACTAATGACATAGTGGAACTTTCGTTATTTTGTTTGGCACCCCGTGCGTTTTTCTTCTGTCAAAGTTACATTTGTTAATAATACGCTATATATTACTTACCTGAAAGTTTTTTTATGAATAAGAATTTGCAAAAAGTATGCTTTATAGCGTCTGGTCGGTAGCTTCGATGTCAATTAAGCTATTTAGTGTTAATAAATTCATGGTTATTGATGGGGCCTCGTAGCTCAGGTAACTCGAACGTTGGCTGGATTCAAGCCTTGTAGTTGCTGTCGAAGGTTCGAATCTCACTGAGGCGCCGGTTTTTTCACAGTTGGATCAATATGAATTATTCAAAATCTGCCAAAACATCTATGAATTACGTAAGGCTGGCAATCATCTGGTGGATTGCAGGTGAATTACTTAGAAAATCCTTCTTAAGCAGTCAACTTTTTGTATCAGATTTGGTGGATTCCAGACGTTGTAGTGGGCTGGGCGAGTAACTTGATCCACATGTGACCAAACTCATGGCTCCTAGTGGGGCCTTGCAAATCAAATGGCTAGTGAGTTGGGTGTACTCAGGTCTCCGCACTCCTGTCGTGGTTTTGACTCACACTATGGTCGACGAGTTTTTCACACTTCGGTCATAATAAAAAAATTTTGTCTCTAACTTTAGGTAGTAAATTAAGTTTTTAATTATCGTACACGTGCGTATAAAGTCGGCTTTAAACTAACTTGCGGCAAAATACTTCATAGAATAACCGCTGCGCAAATCGGACGAAAACTACAGGAGAGGTGTAAGTAGTTTTCAAAAAAATGCATATGATCTAAAACGAAGACACATCTTTACATTCAGCTGCTCTACTCTGTGAAATTATACTACTCTTATAAAGGGGAGAATAGACTATCGAGAGCAAGATATAGTGACTTGCTTTAGCTTTTATTAAAAAAAGCGTGATTAATCGCACACTACAGACTTAATCACAAAATCCTAGGGAAAGGTTAAAGCTGGAGATTATTTTGAAGTTAATTAGGTGCATACGCGGTAATGTAGATCACAAAAGAAGCAGTAACATTGCAGTTTAAAACTAATGATACTTGTACCTCGGTAAGCGACGTTTTCTGTCGATGTCACCGCTTAATATCAAGTCAACTCGAAAATCGCGATCGATGATGTCCACCGTATGTCCAACAGCAGGTCGTGCAGGAGAACGGTAATTTGTGCGTGAACCAATTTGCAACAATAGTACCTTATCCTTATCTACAGCGCTTTCCGCTCCCTTCCCCATCAGAACCCGATGACATGATAGAGTCAATTCAAAGTCAAGAAGGTTGGAAACAAGACTGGGCAAGGTAAAACACAATCTCACGACTTATTTAGACATCCATTTGCAAAAGCTCGTTTAATCTCTCACCGTTTTCTCCATAATATAGTTGCAGGACGCAGTCAGGGTGTTAGAGATACTTACATGCACAAGCGGATACGGAGCTCAGAAGGAAAGCAGTGATGAGGAAGAAGAAGGCGCCCCACATGTTTCCTCTGCTATCCTGATTGTAAAGTTTTTTATTCATTTATATAATTTAAAGCACAGACTTAAGCTTCAGTCTAGTCCCAATTTCGACACAGTCCCACTTGACCTCTGCCAAGTGTTTTTCCCTCCAAACCACGCCACTCCAGGTAAGCCTAAGGGCACAGACCTCTAGCACAGGTGCCGAGTAGACTGTTTAATTACCCCTATCCTGGCAATTTCCCCAAGCTAAATGCAAACAACCATTGAACTTTCAGTGGAAACCACCCTTGTAATGGGCCAGTCCAAGTTTTTTTAGGACGCCTGCCTCCTTGTGTTAAAAGTGGCACTGTTTTTTAACGAAATAGAGCACACAGAACAGAATGAGAGAGTCATCAACTATATGAATGTAAAACACTCTGTCAGAATGAACTTATAGTATTTCTCACAGTGAAATTCACTTTGGAAGGTAGATTAAAGGTTGCCAGAAAAATGATTTTAATAATGACGTACCAATGGGGTAACTATAGCTGTGAAACTGACAAAAACACTTGTGCATTAGGGGTCTAATTGCGGCGAAAAATTCGGTAAAATAAAAGTTGACGAAATAGGAGGAGTGGGCCTAGTGTTAAGCATCACAACAGTGACTATAGTGCAACCTCTTTTCGGCCGTTGAGATAGATGGATTCAGGCCATGGGAAATGTAGGGTCTGTCTGGCCTACCCTTGTGCGCACAGGACCGGCCTACGTATCTTGATGGCCATCGCCACAGCCTTTTTGAGAAGGCTCTTTCCTAGCGAACTCTGCCACCTTTTAGGGACTTGGCTTTTGACGCCGACAAAGTGCTTAGTGTATGTTTTATGCGGCGTGCAGAACTAGTGTTGAACCTCGCCTATTCTATACGAAGGGTGTTGGAATCTCCTCGTCTTATCTTTCACGCAAACGCCAACTGTGGTATCCTCCAAAGGGACAAGTGAGTGGATGCATTTAAGCAGAAAGTATCTGAGGTGGTGTCTTGTCTTCGCATTAAGGCATTAATCGGACAGATTGAGCATAGTGTTTGAACAGTAGGGGCCGAGTAGATTCAAAACATGGTCCGATTTTGACAATGGTTTGTTCTTCCCCTCGTCGCGTAGACTTATTCCTTCCGTGGTACCTTTAGTGCGTTTGTTAGTATACTGGGTTATATTTTTGAAAATACGTCTATCCGGCTAACCCTACCAGATTCGCTGGTGACACGCTCTTCTGTTGCCTGAGAAGTAGGGAAGTGCAAAAATTGAATTCTGTCGCGAGCAGGTCTTACTTCGGTGGAGAGATAGCATTTCTTTTTGTAATCCTATTGCTTAACCTCATTGTAACTGTTGTCATTGTTTCACTGCTGAGGGTAAGAATTTCAGCTTGTTTTGTTAATCCTGAGTTCACAGGATATACAGTGGATGTACTATCTCATGAAATGTTTACCAAAATTCTGCAATGCGCTTTTGATTCGAAAGGACTACTTAAGTAGGGTTGTTATATTAATGGCCGTGCAGCAGAATGCTACGATATTTCGGTCATATCAAGATGTCGGCTTTAGAATGGGCTGCCCTGCGACCGCCTGCATAAAAATACTGCTTAGGTAGTAATGAATTTTTTCCATTGATACACGATGTTACTACTAATTTCTGTATATTTTATAGCAAAAATGCATAAAAATATTCGGTCTTTTGCCCATTTGATAGCATATTGCGTCTTCTTTAAATTCTTTTTTACCTGAAGGGTTATTTATACATCCTAGACGGCTGCAGAACCCCAAAATGGGCCACGGCTTGATTTAGTTGGAGAGCGGCCCGAGATAGTCAGGGCCACCAATAGGATTGCAAGTCGCACTCTCCGTCGGGCCTTTTGAATTGGAAATGTGTAGGAGGGAGTGAGAGGAAAGGAAGAGGGAGGAGTGGGAGGGAAGGGAAGGGGATGGGGACCGAAACACTGGGTGTGGGCGTACACACAATGCTGGATACCCCCATCTGAATTAGCACGCCAGTGAAGGTGGTTATCGAGTTGTGGCTTCTAGGCAGAGTCTAGCGTCGGGAGTCACGGATGAGGGTTGGGTGCCAGTTAAGGACTGTAAAGAACAGTAAGCTTTTGCAAGATGTGGCCTAACACTTAGGAATGGCTGCCCCTAACTGGGCAAACATACGTTCCTCCCCGCTCCTACGCAGGCACATACAAAATAAGCCGATTTTGGTTCAGAGTTGCGAAAATTCCCGTAGCTGTATTCAGAAGACGGGTTGGCGAGCAGATTCTGCTTAGGCCAGTACAGTTATAAGGAAATGGCGTACAGTCACAAACATGCAGTTGATTCATGACATCGTGTGGATCCTGTCGAAGCTTTTCGTATGATTTTTAAGGTCCTGTCGAGCTATCATAAGCTGTTGGCAACATCAGAAGCGGCCGCAATTAAGTTACGAAAATTGACTGTATGCGCCCAGAGGGAACTCGTTCGGGATCAGAGCTTACCGCGGTCAGTTTATCAACGTTTTCCCTTGGTTTTTACACATCGTCAGCATAGCTTGGTGTTTTCCAGATGGCATATCATTTGCAAACATGATGGAACTGCAGTCAAGATCATGCAATTTTTCGCGTCCATCTGCATTCGCCGCGCCTGTTTTTCAAAATTAACTTTTATCGATTTTCTAATCATTGACATGTTTGGCTGTATCCCGTTCCCACATAACTGTACTGGCTTGAGAAGAATTTCTCGAAAGCAACGTATACGCGCGGGTTTGGTTTGTCCGGCTTGGCAAAGATTTAAATTTGTCTTGACCAGAGAATCGAGGAGCAGAGAAGGTTTACTGTCCTCTCTTTTAGGAATCACTGACCCCCGAGGCAGGAGCAGAGACGTGTAGGCTCCGAGGACACTGCGGTATCAGCTCTTATTTCATGCGAATGCTGTTCCTTCGCATGCTTACAACTTGGAGTGTTTCGGTGTTCAGAGTTATCATTGGTGCACACGAAATTGGCACGAAGTTTGCTCTGTCAACCCTTTATCTGATGTGAACATGGTGGGCAGTCGTGTTGTAAGTGTGCATCAGCCCATACACAGATACACACACACATGCAACATACAGCGCTGTATGAGAGGGACATTAAGTTGGTATGGCTTTTAGGCTGAACTTGACCTCTCTAGCCCAAAGCTGCTGTGCAAACCCGCCTAGGCTACACGAGGGAAAATTTAATCAGAATCATCCGAACTCAAATAGGATGGCGTTCACCGAATTTCGGAGCAAAATAACGGCTTTTCGCTCATTCCAAGAGTTACCTCAACCCTTAAGCCCTCATTGCGAGCCAAACACAGCGACCGAAAAAAGACTCGAAAAACTGGGACCAAGCTGATGTTGCTAGGTTTTTTTCCGCGGTCGGAGTAGCCGACTAAAATTACTGCCAGTAAATATTTTTTCAGGTTCCATGTCCGCAGGTGTGGCGCGTGTTGTCGAGGGAATCCCGCTGCCAGACAGGAAGGCTTGTTGCATCTACTCATGCTTGTGGTGCCCTCTGGTGGATGCTTTGGAGGACTGAAGACATCCTTGGTCGCACACATTCTTCAGTTTATTCAGCCGACACTCATCAAAGGCAGTCTGGTCTTCAAAATATACCTTTTTTGGATAGTATTGGGGGAATTTTTGTCAAAACAAAAAACGTGGATGTTTTGGCAGATCTTGAATAATTCATATTGACCCAACTGTGAAAAACTTGGTGCCTCGGTGGGATTGGAACCCACGCAGAAAGGGGGAGGCTTTAGTACAGCCAACGCTCTAACCACTTGAGTTACGAGGTCCGCCGGATGACGCGAGTTTAATCACATTTGAGTCAAGTTACCCGCCCAACCTACCGCAAAGTCTGGAATCCACCAAATTTGATAAAGTAAGTTGACCGCCTCAGGCAGGATTTCCTAAATAACTCACCTAGAATCCACCAGATGAGTACCAGGCTTACGTAATTCATATATGTGATGTAATTAAATTCGCGTCGTCCGGCGGGGCCTTGCAGCTCAAGTGGTTAGAGCGTTGGCTGTACTAAATCCTTCACCTTACTGGGTGAGTTCTAATCCCACCGAGGCGTCGAGTTTTTCACAGTTGGGTCAATATAAAAACAAAAACAGTAAAAAGAAGTATACAGTTTTTATAGTACTCAATGACTACCTCCAGTCTAACGGAAGACTTAACTTGGCGAACGTGTTGCCCAAATTCTCACAGAATGTAAGCACAGGAAGGTCTATCTGACCCACTGACGGAATTCGCTGTGCAGGAAGCAAACTGATTTTGCAACATGAATCATTTAAAGATATTTTGAAAACCAGTAAGAGGATGTTTCATGTGAGGTCACAGAACTTAGTCATCGTGAGCATCAAATGAAAGCTGTTAAATGCGTACTCAGTGACCGCTGGCCAAATTCCTTCCACCCCACTCCCCGGTTAGTTGGCTCAGCTGCGGATCCGATCTTCACTAACACCGATATCTAAGTACTTCTGTCTACCTCAGCGGCATGTGTGCGTCACTTACATGAAAGGCAGTAATCACTGCTGCCCGGATTACTGCCAATAGGATCTTGTCTGAATTAAAATGGATAAGAACCAGATAAGATGCAGTTAACCACTACCTTTGCGGATAAATCTTCTGTCTTCGGGGTTAACCTAAAGACCAGTTTAGACTCCACGTCAAGGTGACGCAAGTAGGGCCTATGTCACTCAATCGTTTGGCCAAAAGAAGAAGATATTCCACATTTTTCCTGCGAAACTGATGCCTCCTAACCGGGTCCCCAATAAAAACACGAACGGAAGCGAATTCATAATCCCCTACCCAACTCTTGGGGTACGTCAAGCAGAAGATGCATTTCCAGGAAATATCCAAAAACGTTAGAAATACTATTGCTTCTGGTGGCATTTAAAACCAAGACCGAGACAGGCTACACGTGAGCCGTAAATACGCACATGATCTAATAATTTTTATTCAGCATCCATCAATGAGCTAAGATAATTATGAAATC